CGAGCGTGTGCCTCTGCAGGCAGCGAAAGGGGGAGACAGAGTCTGAGCAAGCGCCTCCCAGGCAGCGTGGGGCCCACCTCACCCCAACAGGATACTTGTGATCACCGAGCAGCAGCAGGGACAAACCCCTGCCACACGGTGCTCTCTCCTCCCCGCTTCGGAACTGGCTCTCAGAATTCTACAAGAAAAGCTGCAGGCAGTGCTGCTTTGGAGGCAATGAACCTGGTGGCCACAGTCTCCCTACAAGTAGGAGGAGGAGGCCGGGGGGGTGGGCCAGAGAGCCGCCAAGTACAGCACCTCACACCAAGACACGGAGTGGGCGGCATGCAGCCCCAGCTAACATGGCACTATGTGACAAAGCAGAAACGCTCTGGCTTCATAAGCTTTTGTTCTTACAGGTGCTGGAATAACACTCCTGGCAGCAACACCTGTCTGCACAAGCAGAGGAGATCAAACACCATCGTACCTGCCTGACTTTCTAAACAATACACGCAGTTAGTTACACCTGGTTACACCTGAAGGCATCTCGCTCTGCTAGAAGACCACCCTGCGCACGCTCAGCAGTGATGCTGACTTCTGTCACAGGTGTGTTTAGAACATAGTACTATCCTAACATTTAACAGCTATTCGAACATGCTTTGAAGAATTGACTCAAACACTAATACAGTGGTTAGTGAGGTGTCCCAAGTCACTTCTAGAAACAGAGGAGGCATTAGGAGATCCTGAGGACCAGCACTGTGCCATAGCAGGTAAAGCTGCCACCTGCAGTGCTGGCATCCCATATGGGCACTGATTTGAGTCCCAGTTGCTCCACTTCTGATACAGCTCTTTGCTATGGCCTGGGAAAGCAGTGGAAGATGGCCCAAGTCCTTGGGCCCCCGCACCCATATGGGAGACCCGGAAGAAGCTCCTGGCTTCTGGCTTTGGATCAGCCCAGCTCTGGCCGTTGCAGCTGTGGGGAGGGAACCAGCGGATGGAAGACCTCTCTCTCTCTCTCTCCTTCTCCCTCTCTCTCTCCTTCTCTCTCGCTCTCTGCCTGTCTGTAACTCTGCTTTCCAAATAAATGAAATAAATCTTTAAGAAAAAAGAGGGATAGGTTTTGGCTATTGAGACTGGAAACACCTGCATCTCCCAACTGGCTATGCCCTCAGGGCTCCTTTAGAGTGAAGAGAACAAGAATCCCATGATTCCTACCCTCTCCCCTCCTGCTCTACATCTGCAGTGTGCAAATATCAGACATAGGGAAGGGTTATTTTCCTCCTCTCCTGTTCCATCTCCACCTGGCACAGGTACATGTACACACACGCATACACACATGCGGACCTGGGCACACACCTGCCCACACCACTGTTATCTGGTAGGTACGTGATAAAGTTGTTTCACCTAAGCAGATGGGACCTTGACAGATTTGATCATGTACTGGACTAATAATATATCAAAGAAAAATAAAAATTTGCATTAAGACATTGTTGAAAATAAACATAATAGTAAAACCTCCATTTTGGTTACTAAAACTACCTCAACACTCTTCAAAAAATCAAGTGACATATCTGGAAAGTAAAATGTTTACACTATTTTTAAAATCAAAGCACCTGCCCTGAAAATGGCTAAAGTAAAACAGACTAACAATGCCAAATGTCAATGAGAAATTGGTGCAACAGAAAACCTCATGTATGTTTGGTACAGAAAGACACAACCAATTTGGAAAATGTTCTAGCAGTTTCTGATGAAATTAAACATTCACCTACCCTATGATCCAGCAATTCCACTCTGGGGTAACATCTCAAGAAAAATTAAAAATATGCTTAGAGAAGAATTGTATACAGGCTGTTAAGCGACTGCCTGCAACGCCGGCATCCCTTATGGGTGCTTGTTCGAATCATGGCTGCTCCACTTTAGATTCAGCTCTCTGCTGATGTGTCTGGGGAAGCAGCAGAGGATGGCCAAAGTGCTTGGATCCCTGTACTCACAGGGAGACCTGGATAAAGCTCCTGGTCCTGGTTTTGGCCTGCCCCAGCCCTGGGTATTGCGGCCATCTGGGGTGTGAACTCTTATTTCAAATAAATAAATCCTTAAAAAAAAGAATTGCAGAAAATGTTCACAGCAACTATATTTGCAATAGCCCCAAACTAGAAATAACCTGTCTGTTAATAAGACAGGATGAATAAACAAACTGGAATATTCATACAGTGGAGTACCTTTCAGCCAGAAACAAGCTGCTGTACTGATACAAACAACATGGAAGGAGCTCAAAAAAATGTTACGAGGAATAAAAGAAGTCAGAGCACCTATTGTCTGATTCCATTGATATTAAGTTCTAATCTCATGTAGAAAAACATCAGAGCATTGGTTGCCCTGAGGGGTGGGGGGCGAGTATCTATTCTGAAGGGAATGCATGATGGTAACATTCTGCACCTCAGAATTTTGGGTTGCACAGGCGCGATGTCAACACTAAAAGACTGGCTTCTTTCCTTGTACACACATTTTCCTAATAGGGAAAAACAAAGTATTGAACACTAATTAATGACATATGTGCTGAAGTACTTGGGAGAAAGGACAGACACCTCACTGTATCAAATTTATGAATACTTAAAAATGTGATGATCAGTGGATAGAGATAATAAATAAATGGACAGGTAAGCAATGAAGCAAGTGTTCACTGCCAAACCTAAGAGCTGTGTAAGTATTCGCTGTGAAATTCTTTCCATTTTTTTATATGACAGTATTTTCATGAAGTAAGTAGGAGGGGCAGGCCTTATGGCATAGCAGGTTATGCCATCATCCCACAATGGAATGCTGGTTCAAGTTCCAGCACCTCTGCTTCTGATCCTGCTTCCTGCAAAGGTACCTGGAAAGACAGAGGATGATGGCCCACATGCCTGGGTTCCTGCCACTCACATGGGGGACCCAGTTGGAATTCCTGGCTCCTGGCTTTGGCCTAGACCAGCCCAAGCTGTTGTGGATATTTGGGGAGAGAAACAGTAGATAGATGATCTCTCTCTCTCTCTCTCTCTCTGTCACTCTTTCAAATGAATAAATAAACCTTCCAGAGATGGAATTTCTGTTAAAAAAAAAAGTTAGACAAATATCTTATAGTCCTATAATACCATCATTTAAAAAATTAATTTTCTTGATCACTGTATAAGCAAAGAGGAACAAGGAAGCCTTTTTTTTTTTTTTTTTTTTTTTTTTTTTTTGACAGGCAGAGTGGACAGTGAGAGAGAGACAGAGAGAGAAAGGTCTTCCTTTTGCCGTTGGTTCACCCTCCAATGGCCGCCGCTGCAGCCGGCGCACCGCGCTGATCCTGGCAGGAGCCAGGAGCCAGGTGCTTTTCCTGGTCTCCCATGGGGTGCAGGGCCCAAGCACCTGGGCCATCCTCCACTGCACTCCCTGGCCATAGCAGAGAGCTGGCCTGGAAGAGGGGCAACCGGGACAGAATCCGGCGCCCCAACCGGGACTAGAACCCGGTGTGCCGGCGCCGCAAGGTGGAGGATTAGCCTATTGAGCCACGGCGCCGGCTGCCTTTTTTTTTTTTAAAGGAGAGAAAATGATTAACTTCTCAAGTAAGTTTGAACACCAAATAAATACTGGCATTTCATAGTTACTTCAGAACAAATAAAGCCCTGCCTTTAGGCCAAAAGGAGAAAAGAGGCATCTCATTAAGCTTTATGAATCCAAACATACCTGAACGACTATTTTACACATAACCACATCCTCCTGTAGCTCCGGCTTGCCAAATGTTGTGTTCAAACATGTTTCTCCTATTATGTACAGTCTGCCAAACACTAATGGGCTTTGAACACCAGCCAGAAGGTTCCCCCAGCCTCCCCTGGGTGGAACCCCAAATCCCACCCTGCTCCTATCGGACCTCCCTTCAGAGCACCCGAGACTTAATCTGTGCAAGCTTCTTATCTCTTCCATAGGTCTGGATCCCACAGAGCTCCGCTCTTATGAGCACCTCAGTAAATAACCATTCAAGGTCGTGCTCCACGGTTCAAAGGAGGATGAATTTCTGTCTTTTCTCATAAAAATTGCCAGGCACTGTGGGAGCCCCTTATTTATATGGGTAAAATGTTATCATGACCGCAAGGGTGTGAAATTCTGAGTCCTCCAAGTTATTAAGCAACCTAGTCTGACGGTAGAGGTCAGCTGTACCCCACCCTGCTCCACAACACGGCGGACTCTGCCGATGACTAGGTGATTTCTTCTCTCCGAATCTCTCCTGTAACATGAGAGTGATATTTCCACCTCACAGGGTAGAAGTGAAGATGAAATAAGGCGATCCATCAGGCTACTCTGTAACAGCTACAGCACGCCATAAGCACCCAACACATGTTCGTTCACTGTCACTGCTAGTTGTTTGTGTCCAGGTGAGTGAAGCTGAGCTGTGCCATCTTCATTACACTGATGGAACATTAAGTGCAACAGAGATTTCATAAATAATTACTACTCAAAGAATTTGGTGAACCACTGTTGCCTAAATACATGTCACTTACAGGGTCTCAGAGTCCTAATACAAAAACTCAGTACCACTTTAACACAGGCTCAATTTTCCACAGCTGCCTGATGTTTTCCTCCTGTGTCCATGCGGGGGTATAGAACCTCAAGAAAGGAACAAGGAAGTCATTTGCCCAGATTCTTCTCAAGACTCATCCAGAGAATGCCCTCATTAGACTCCTCCTCCTTCTGCCAAATCCCCCCTCCCCTCAGTGGGAGCCATCTGACCACTGGAGACAGCATGACCTGTCGCCTACAGTCTGGCTGTGGCAGGCAGAATGAGCCCTCCCTGGTACCTGCAGCTGTGTCATGCTGAAAGGCAAGGTACTGCAGAAGCAACTCAGATCCTGTGACAGGAAGATTCTCCGCTCGAATCAACCTTCCCACTGCTTTCGGCTGCAGTGGGAGATGCAGCCATCACTCAATGCAGAGGGATTTTGATGTAGGGGAGGACTCAATGTGCTCATGCTGGTGTGGCAATGACAGGGGCAAGGTGGCAAAGAAGACAGGTGGCTCTGGGAGCAAAGACAGGCTCCTGGCTGACAGATAGCAGAGCAACAAGGCCTTAAGCCCTACACCTGCAAAGGACTGAATTGTGACAACGTGGTGACTGGAAGCAGATTCTTGCTGAGCCTCTCACAAGGGAGGCTCTGCCCTGCTCCTGCCCAGACTGTGACATGTGAGACCCCAAGCAGAAACGCAGCTGAACCACACCAGGCCCAAACTTCTAGCCCATGAAAACTGTGAAATAATAATGAGTATGCTAAGATTTATGTATTTGTTTATTTTTTGTTTGAAGGCAGACTGAACAGAGAGGGAGGGAGAGTCAGAGAAAAAGAGATCTTCCATCAGCTGGTTCACTCCCCAAATGGCCGCAACAGCCAGGGCTGGGCCAGGCTGAAGCCAGAAGCCTCAAACTCTATATGGATCAACCATGTGTATGTTAGGGGCCCAAGTACTTGGGTCATCTTTCCCTGCTTTCCCAGGTGCCTTGGCAGGGAGCTGGATCAGAAGCAGAGCAGTGCTCATAGGGGATGCAAGCTTTGCAGGCAGCAGCTTAGGCCATGGTGCAACAATATGGGTATTTTAAACCACTAAATGCGTGCTAATTTATTAAGGCAGCAATTGAAAGCTAACACAACAGTGGTCCTTAAAATAAGTGAAGCTTCCTATGCTTGCTGTGTTTTTTTTTTCTCTGTGCAACTAAATATTTCCTGGACTGGATCACCTTTCACAAACAAAAGTTTGGAGCTATTCATTTGGATGTCATCCTTCACAAAAACAAAACAACTGCCTGGAGTTCCTGCACCTGGGGAGTTCAGTTCAGCTATTCTGGAGCTGAGCCTGCAAAGACCAAGGACAACGAGGGGCCTGCGGCAGGGCTGTGTGAGTGCAGGACACACATTTGCTGCCCTGCAGCAGCAAATGTCACCGACTGCAATGACACGGTAAGGATTCCCACAGCATATCAGACCTGAGCACAAGCCTCCCTTCAGATGGGTTCTGGATGGCCAGCAGCAATCGTAAGACCAAAGACAAGCATCCAAGTGTGATCACACCAGCTCATGACACAATAGGACTACGTCCAAATCCATTTTCTTTTTCCTTTCTTTTTTTTTACAGGCAGAGTGAACAGTGAGAGAAAGAGACAGAGAGAAAGGTCTTCCTTTGCCGTTGGTTCACCCTCCAATGGCTGCCGCGGCCGGCGCGCTGCAGCCGGCGCACCACGATGATCCAAAGGCAGGAGCCAGGTACTTATCCTGGTCTCCCATGGGGTGCAGGGCCCAAGTACTTGGGCCATCCTCCACTGCACTCCCTGGCCACAGCAGAGAGCTGGCCTGGAAGAGGGGCAACCGGGACAGAATCCGGCGCCCCAACTGGGACTAGAACCCGGTGTGCCAGCGCCGCTGGTGGAGGATTAGCCTATTGAGCCGTGGCGCCGGCCCCAAATCCATTTTCTAGAAACAGTCATCAAGCCTTCATCAAGGCAGCGCCACATCTCCCCAGCAGTTCTGGTACCCAGATCAGACTCTCCGCTCACTCTTCGCTTAATTAAGGCTTTAGTCACCTGAAAGATCTTTTCCCCACTGATGAATAAAACTAATTTAATCTATTCTACAACTTTGTTACTGCCATAGTTATAGCTCACAGTTATCATTTCGGATCTAAATTTTTCAAACTTTTTGCCTTTATTTCATAAGAAGTATTAGCAATGTCTTCATCCAAGTTACTAAAATATTAATCATAATAATCAATAAATATTAATATAAATTAAGACCCAAGATACATGTGCTTTAATTTGCACATTATTAAGATAAATTTCCACTAGAAAACACTTCGTGTTGACCATTCCCTCCAAGAGAAAAGATTTAAGCTACCAATGTGAAATCAAAGCCAAAGGAAGCAAAATATAACCATACTGTAACACTATCAGTATAAAGAGGAAGGGAGTGAACTCATCCACTAAACTGGGGCTACTAGTGATTGCTTTCAGTTACTACTGTAACTCACCAAGTGCTCAACGCCTTTTAGCACTGAAATTGACATTAAAAAGCCATCCCCTGATACAAATTCAGTCACCTTTCTTTTCAAGTTCTGAGCTCAAATAAGCAAGTCTTAGCAAATTAAAATGTTTATTTGACTTGGAAATAGTTGAGTCTTCATTAAACTGCTCCTTATTTATCCCTATGGTGTACAAACAAGATAACAGTTTTATTATCTTTCAGAAACTTGGTATTAAGTTCTGAGATATCTTTTTTAAGCTGTTTGCTACTTCCTGCAATCCCAAAAGATCTCACCAGTTTTCATATTTGAGAATGTCTTTACATATTTTATATAAAACCAAGGGTTCAAAATACTTGCTGAACAGAGGCCATTATTCTACCTTCCATAGATATGTCAATTTACTTCTCTTAGCCTGGGTTTCCTCATCTCCAGAATAAGAGGGGGAAAAACCCTAAATTTTCAAGATCCTTCTTGTATTGTAAAAAAACAAACAAACAAAAAAAGCACTTTAAAAAGGTATTGCTATGGATTCGTTATGAGAGGAGGAGCGCAATGGGGGCAAGAGGCATGGAGTCACCACACAGACCCCGGGAGTCAAGTGAAAGCAGGCCAGAGGCAAGCAGCTTGCAGACTCATTTATTTCAGTTGGTACAGCAGCTTATATAGCCAAGGCAGCCAATCCGGTCAAGGGGCAGTTTATGCCCTAACCAATCACTGCCTGTTGCCAGGCAGGCTCTGTTGCCAGGTGGGTTTCAAAGCCATTCCTGAGTAACTGATGCTCACTTGCCAGGGGCCATCTTGGCATGGCCTTCTCATTCCACCACATTTCCCCTTTTTCATTTATTTTTGACCAACGGGAGGCATGATCTTTGGCCATACCATTGTTGACCCCGTTTCCATGTGGTCTCCATACGTGGCTGTGCCTGTCTTAGGTTGTCCCCCAGGGGATCTTACCCGTCGTTGACTAACCAGCCCTCAAAACGGGAGACCACAGGAGTGCTTGCTTAGATGGGGGTAGGAATGAGCAACAATGGTAATCAGGAATGGCATGACCGCGCACAGGCTGTGGATCGTTTGAGTGGCTGACCAGAGCTAGTGGGTATAAAACAGTAGCGGATGTGGCTATGGGCAATTCGTCAGGGTATGATGATAGGGCAGCAGCTTGACAGTTGGTAGCAGGTGCATCCGCTAACAGGGCAGATTCAGTCTTGTTCGCTGGTTCTGGTTGACTGTCAGTTGCAGGCTTGATGTTTCTGGCTGGTACCCAAATGGGCTGTCCAGCATTCTCTGGAAAGACACGAGCATATCCTTGACCCTTGGTTAGCAGAGGGTGTGGTCCCTTCCATTCTACCTTACACCTTACACAAAAATCCATTCAAAATGGATTAAGGACCTAAATCTATGATCCGATACCATCAAATTATTAGAGAACATTGGGGAAATCCTGCAAGACACTGGCACAGGCAAAGAATTCTTGGAAAAGACCCCAGAGGCACAAGCAATCAAAGCCAATATTAACAAATGGGATTACACTAAACTGAGAAGTTTCTGTACTGCAAAAGAAACACTCAGGAAAGTGAAGAGGCAACCAATAGAATAAGAGAAATTATTTGCAAACTATTCAATTGATAAAGGATTAATAACCAGAAGATATAAAGAGATCAAGAAACTCAACAACAAAACAAACAACCCAGTGAAGAAATAGGCAAAGGACTTAAACAGACATTTTTCAAAAGAGGAAATCCAGAGGCCGGTGCTGTGGTGTAGCAGGTAAAGCCGTCACCTGCAGAGCCAGTATCCCATATGGGCACTGGTTTGATTCCCGGCTGCTCCACTTCTGATCCAGCTCTCTGCTGTGGCCTGGGAAAGTAGTAGAAAATAGCCCAAGTGCTTGGGCCCCTGCACCCGCGTGGGAGACCTGGAAGAGGCTCCTGGCTCCTGGCTTCGGATCAGTGCAGCTGTGGCCATTGCGGCCATCTGGGGAGTGAACCAGTGGATGGAAGACCTCTCTCTCTCTCTCCTCTCTCTCTCCTCTCTCTCTCCCCTTCTCCCTCTCTCTCTGCCTCCACTCTCTCTGTGTAACTCTGACTTTCAAATAAACAAGTAAATAAATCTTAAAAAAAAAAAAGAGGAAATCCAAATGGCCAACAGACACATGAAAAATGCTCAGGATCACCAGCTCTCAGGGAAATGCAAATCAAGACCATAATGAGGTTTTACCTCACCCCAGTTAGAATGGCCTTCATACAGAAATCAACACACAACGAATGCTGGCGAAGATGTGGGGAAACAGGTACCCTAGTCCACTGTTTGTGGGAATGTAAATTGGTAAACCACTATGGAATACAGTATGGGGATACTCAGAAATCTGAATATAGACCTACCATATGATCCAGCCATCTCACTTCTGGGAATTTACCCAAGGAAAATGAAATCTGCATATGAAAGAGTTATCTGCACCCCCATTTATTGCAGCTCAATTCATAACAGCTAAGACATGGAATCAACCCAAATGCCCATCAACAAAAGATGGATAAAGAAATTATGGAAGACATACACTATGGAATACTACACAGCAGTAAAAAAAAATGAAATCTAATCATTTACAACAAAATGAATCAATCAGGAAACATCATACCTAGTGAAATAAGCCAGTCTCAAAGGGACAAAAAGCATATGCTCTCCCTGACCTGTGATAACCACAGCACCTAAAAGGCAATCTGTAGAAGTAAAATTGACACTTTGAGAAGCAATGACTTGAACTGCTCTTGTCTTGACTGTTGAGGAACAGTTTTTTTTAATATGTACTATTTGTTGAACGCTTTACTTAACATAGAGTTAACTATATGTGTATAAAGTCAACTGAAAATAGATTTCAGTAAAAAATAGGAGTGAGAATAAGAAAAGGAGTGGGAGGGTGGGCATGGTGGGAAGAATCACCATGTTCTTAAAGCTTTAATTATGAAGTGTATGAAGTTTGTAACTGTCAAGCTGTATAGTTTTGCATACATTCCTACAGACTTACTTCTAAGGGTACAGTTTAAAAACTTGCCATGGGACCCCCAAATCCCCTTAGGCTAAGTGATAAAAATACTATCTTAAGAGTTAAATTGATCATATGGATAGGATTGGAGTGTCTGGTAATAATAATAGACATAATTAAAAAGGACCAAATGCTCCAAAAGCCCATGAGAGCATTTCAGATATGGAAAGCCAAGACACTGTGGCAAAAAATGTCCTACATGGAGGACCTCAGTGGGTGAGACTCCAGTGGAAAGAAGTGGTCATCAAAGAAGGATGTACTTTTCTCTGAAGGGAGAAGAGAACTTCTACTTTGCTTAGGCCTGGTCTAAATACTGACAGAGTTTGTGGATTCAAAAAGCTTCCACAGCCTAGGCAGCTCATGTCAAGAGACTTGTGTGATCACTGACATCATACATCAGTGTGTTATTGTTAAATTAACAACAAGAAGGAAAGCAGTAGAGGATGGCTCAAGTCCTTGGGCTGTGAGGGAGACCCAGAAGAAGCTCCTGGCTCCTGGCTTCGGATCAGCTCAGCTCTGGCTGTTATGGTCATTTGGGGAGTGAACCAGTGGATGGAAGACCTCTCTCTCTCTCTCTCCCTCTACCTCTCTCTATAACTCCTCTTTCAAATAAATAAAATAAATCTAAAAAAAAAACAAAACCACAAGAGTCATTCTACACTAACTTCCCGTGCAGGGTGCAGGTCTTCTGTCCTCCAAGAGTTGCATTATTATTATGTCAAAGTGGTTGCAAAAATGTATCATTCTTGGGTGCTTCTTTAAAGTTAATTAAGCTTCTGAAAAAAAAGAAGTGAAATTAACTTCAAGATGCAATGTCTTGGCCCACCCTGCAGCTCACAAGGCTAATCCTCCGCCTACATCACCAGCACCCCAGGGTTCTAGTTCTGGTTGGGGCGCAGGATTCTGTCCTGGTTGCTCCACTTCCAGTCCAGCTCTCTGCTGTGGCCCGGGAAGGCAGTGGAGGATGGCCCAGGTCCTTGGGCCCTGCACCCGCATGGGAGACCAGGAGGAAGCACCTGGCTCCTAGCTTCAGATTGGCACAGCGCACCGGCTATAGCAGTCACTTGGGGGGTGAACCAACGGAAAAAGGAAGACCTTTCTCTCTCTCTCTCACTAACTGCCTGTCCAAAAAAAAAAAAAAAAAAAAAAAAGGATGCAATGTCTTTGGACAGCCTTTGTCTCTACTGTGGAGGAACAGGTTTTTTTGTCCTTGTAGTTTTTGTTGAACTCTTTATTTAGTATAGAGTTGGTCTTCTGTGTATAAAGTTCATCGAAAATGGATCTTTTTTTTATTTTTTTTTATTTTTTTGACAGGCAAAGTGGACAGTGAGAGAGAGAGACAGAGAGAAAGGTCTTCCTTTGCCGTTGGTTCACCCTCCAATGGCCGCCGCGGCCGGCGTGCTGCGGCCGGCGCACCGCGCTGATCTGATGGCAGGAGCCAGGAGCCAGGTGCTTTTCCTGGTCTCCCAAGGGGTGCAGGGCCCAAGCACCTGGGCCATCCTCCACTGCACTCCCGGGCCACAGCAGAGAGCTGGCCTGGAAGAGGGGCAACCGGGACAGAATCTGGCGCCCCAACCAGGACTAGAACCCGGTGTGCCGGCGCCGCTAGCCGAGGATTAGCCTAGTGAGCCGCGGCACCAGCCGAAAATGGATCTTGGTTGAGAATGAGACTGGGGATGGGAGAGGGATGAGGAGGAAGGGTGGGAAAGTGGGTGGGAGGGCGGGTATGGTAGGAAGAATCACTATATTCCTAAAGTTGTACTAACAAAATGCATGAAGTCTGTGTTCCTTAAATAAAAGGTTTCTTTGGGAGGAAAAAAAAAAGCTATTTCATACAAATAAATGGTCTATTTAGAGTGCTGAAGCTTAATTTTAAAAATACATTTAAAGTACAGTGAGTTCCATGTTTGTTAGAACTGATAATTTAGCTACAGCTGTTGTCTTTAAACATTCTAAAGTTGGGGCAGGCGTTGTGATGTAGCAGGTTGAGCCACCACCTGTGATGCCACCATCCCATATAGGAGATGGTTCATGTACTGGCTGCTCCACTTCACATCCAGCTCCCTGCTCATGGCCTGGGAAAGCAATGGAAGACAGCCCAAGTGCTTGGGCCCCTGCACCAATGTGGGAGACTGGGAAGAGACTCCTGGCATCTGCCTGGCCAAGCCCAAGTGGTTGCAGCCACTTAAGACGTGAACCAGTGGATTGAAGATCTCTCTTTCCCTCTCCTTTTCTCTCTGCATGTCTGCCTTTCAAATAAACAAATAAATCTTTTAAAAAAGAAAAAAAAACAAGGTACTTGAGTCATATGTTGAATAAGCACGGCCCCCGTGGATTGTGTATCAGAGTTTGGAGATCTCTTAGAGAAAAACTAGAGACCTGAAACTTAAGGAAACCTTATACCATAATATTCCAAGTAGATTCCAGGAACTAAATGATACTTTCTTTATCAAATGAATCTTTATTATGTCATCTGAGGAGACTAACATCTGTAAAATTTCTTGGTATTAGTTTGCTACTTATTATTCAAGATAAAATGTAAGGTTTAGCTTGAGATTCTCTTACTGTAACTGCTTTGAATCAGCAAAATGATTTCTAGAATGACAGTAGTCACATGACCAATCATGAATTTGAACTAGCTCTAGAATGATTATTTTATTAAGTGTTTTGCCCAAGTTACTGTGAAGTGTTTATAGTACCTATTTTTTTGCCTGGAAATGTTACAGAAACTTTTACCCAAAAGTATTGAATAACTCTGACTTTCTGCCTCTTCTGCAAAACTGTACCTTGACATCGGCTTGAGGGAGGGGGCTCTTCTGGAACAGCAGTCGGCTGTAGGGAAGCAATTTTGAAACCCAGCAGCCCACTTAGTGCCAGAAGAAAGGTCAGGGCTGGGTTAAGGACTTCATGCTCGGCAGTGATCTTATTTGGTTGCTGGGTATTTAACAGCAAGATATTTTGCAATGGAGTGCTAACTTTTGTTCAGTTAAGGAAAGCTACAATCTGTAATAACAGGAGTGGTGAATGGTTGGCTGCGTCTCTCCTCTCCCAGAGGTCTAGTCCTCTCCAAATCAAGCTGCAGTTACTGGATCACCAGGATCAGCTGAAAGGCCCAGATAGCCAGAGGATCACCCCAGAAGCACAACTTATGCTGACATTATCTTAAGAGCATCACATCTAAATAAAACTCACGTCATGGGAAACTATAGGAGCTGGGCATATAGAAGCCACTGAGCTCCACCGCAAGCCAGGTGTGAGAACTCCATGCATGAACAATGGCAATACCTAGGGGACTTCTAGGAAGGTCTTTAAAAAAAAAAAGATTTGTTTATTTATTTGAAAGTTAGAGAGAGAGGAAGAGACATAGAGAAAAAAATCTTCCATCTGATGGTTCACTCCTCAAATGGCAGCAATGGCCGGGGGTGAGCCAGGCTGAGTCCAGGAACCAAAAGCTTCATTAGGGTCTCCCACATGGGTAGCAGAGACCCAAGCACTCAGACGATCTTCTGCGTGAACCAGTGCCTATATGGGATGTTGGCACTGCAGGCGAAGGTTTAACCTACTCTGTCACAGCGCTGGCCCCATTAACCAACCATTTCTATAGTAAAAGCAAAACTCTTACAAATTTTTTGGAAAAAGTAAACATTGAGTTTTTGTTTTGTTTTGTTTTGTTTTTACAGGCAGAGTTAGACAGTGAGAGAGAGAGAAAGGTCTTCCTTTTTCCATTGGTTCACCCCCCAAAATGGCTGCTACGGCCGGTGTGCCACACCGATCCAAAGCCAGGAGCCAGGTGCTTCCTCCTGGTCTCCCATGCGGGTGCAGGGCCCAAGGACTTGGGCTATCCTCCACTGCCTTCCTGGGCCACAACAGAGAGCTGGACTGGAAGAGGAGCAACCAGGACAGAATCCGGTGCCCCAACAGGGACTAGAACTCGGGGTGCTGGCGCCGCAGGTGGAGGATTAGCCTAGTGAGCCGTGGCACCAGCCTGGATTAGCCTTCTTGAACCTTCAGCCATTCAGGCACTTCCTGAGCACCTACTAGCTACAAAACATCAGCCTGCTGTGGAAAATGCACAGTGAAAGGTGAGTGGAGATTACATGAATTTAACTATGGTTGGCATAGCGATTAAGATGCCTGCATCCCATAACCAAGTCCCAGCTCTGCTCCAGATTCCCGCTTCCTACTCTGGGAGTCCATAGGTTCAAGTAGTCGGGTCCCTGCCACCTACGTGGAAGATGTGAGTTTAGTTCCTGGCTCCTGCCCCAGCTGTTGCAGGCATCTGGGAAGGAACTAGTAGATAGGACCTCTCTGTGTCTTGTCTGTTTCTCTCTCTCTCTGCCTCTCTAACTAATAAAAACTGTATCATAAGACACAGAGTAGTTTAGTGTCAAGATGGTTTGAAGAACTCAGTGGGTTGAAGGTGATCTTTGAATGTTGAAAGAGAAGCTAACCATTCCCTTAAAAATGCTACTTGCTGAAAATCCAGATGCTAGGTAGGGATACTCTGATTTCTGATAGAACTCCTGAGCTTAACTCTTTAAAAAACCATCCTTACCCTAAATAACAATCAAAGAAGTAATTCAAGGGCAGAAATATTCCAAGACATCTCAACTTTCATGCAAACCATACCACACCATATACTAAGATATGCCTACCTATGGCATAAATATCCTAACAGGTCCACCATTCATTCCTTACTTTACAGAGTATTCCATTTCATAGAGTTTAGTCAGTCAATCTGATGTTTAGCAGCAAGAGCTCACTGAGACATGGTCTTAGATCTAAACCCAGAATTTTTTTTTACAACTTAAAAAAAAAAAAAAAAACTGAAGCCGTGTGTTCCCTTATTTTATAAGTGCATGAAGTCAACATTCCCATAGATTGCTATTTCTAGTGCAAAGCAAAAAATCCAACCTTCTTTTTGGAATTAATGGCCTCATTGAAGTGGAAATATCACATTTGCTAAGATAGCTGATTCAAAAAACAGTACAAGGATATGAATGAAAAAGGCTGATGACCTAACATCCTAAACATTCATTTCCTATATGAGGAGACATGTGAGAGTTTTTGTACCTTATCACTGTGCATCCCCCATAACACTCATTACTACATCGATGTACGATTCATAATGGCCACGCTGAACCACAGCTATAGAAGCAGCAATGCATTCAAGAGGTGTCAGCAAGTGATGAACATGGAAACCTTTCATTCCACATATAGGTAATTGGCCTGGCCTCCCCTCCTCCGCTTTCCCATCACAACACCCAGCTCCTTGGCTCCCAGGCACCTGGGGTGGATCAGCGTGAGGAAAGGGGGTTAAGGCAGGGTCCCAGCAACAGGATACTGGCAGGATGGGGAGCCCCTCCTTCATGCAGCCTGCAGGGCAGACTCTGCAGGGTGCACACATCCTTTCCAGAAAAGGCCTCAGGCAAGCGCAGGTCTAGAGCTGCAAAGAACTCACCCCACAGGGAACCACAGAAGCCAGAGGAAGCCCAGGCAGCTGAGGACGCTCACCCCTGCGGCCCCCAGTCCCCCTTTCCAAAAGACCAGCCACAGAGAAGCTCTCGATTTTGTGCCCAGAAATGCCTGTCAAGGAAGCTTCAGGGTTAGCCGCAAATAAATTCTGATTTTTAAAAACAAAAGGCAGGCTTGTGGCCATTCTCAGAGGTGACCACGTTACTCCCAGGGCTGCAAAGCAGATTTGCAGAGGCCAAAGATTAGACAAAAGGCACAAGCTGGGGACACACAGACCTGGAAATGATTTTTTTCCACCCTTCTTCTAAGTGATTAGGGCCTCCTAGTTCCAATTTTTTCTCCTCTTCTAAGGATGATTCCTGGGCCGCTGGGCAAATTTCCTAAAGGTCTGGAACAGACGTCGGATGGGGTGGGGGGAGAAGACCCCGAAACTTTCGCAAACGGTGGCAGCCTGGTAGCGGACTGCGGCCGTGGACCCCAGCGCCCAGGGGCACAGGGTGCACCCCAGGGCGGCGACCGCCCCCTCCCTGCCACAACAAAAGGACCTAGCGCAGACCTCGCGCCCAGGCTTCCCGGACCCCAGCCCGGAGCCCTGGGAGACCCCTCTCGCTGCGGTGAAGGAGATGGAGCCGCGCGTCCGTGTCGCGGCATAAAGGAAAAGACCCTTGGATGCACTCAGAGAAGCCACTGGCAGGTGGTGCCACCGCATCCCCGCCCGCTGCGGCACCCGGCCCCCCGGGAGCATCCGGCCGGCGGGCCCCGCGTCCCTGGGCGGCGCCGCCCCCTCGGGAGCCGGGCGCGGGGGCTGCAGGCCCAGCGGCTGCGGCCGCCGCCGCCACAATGCGGCCCGGGACCCTCCCGCCGCCGCTACCGCCTCTGCGCCAGGCCCCGCGCGACACAAAAGCCCCCGGCCCCGCCGCCGCCCACCGACCTTGGGCTCCAGCGCCGGGCTCCCGCAGCGTCTTGGTCACCGCCTTCCAGACGTGGCAGCTCAGCAGGCAGAGCAGCAGCGCCACGGACCTGCTCATCTCCGAGCCGCGGGGCCGGCGGGCGGCTAGGGCTCGCCGACGAGCGGGCCGGGCAGCGGCGCGTCACGGGCGGCCGGGCGCCGCGCCTCCCTCCATGTTGCCTGGCTCCGCGCGCGCCGGGCCCGCCGCCCGATTGGCCCGGCCCCGCAGCCAGCGGCCGCTCCCTCCTCCGCGCCCCGCGCCGGGTTTCCCCCGAAGAGCCGCGGCGGCGGCGTCGGCAGCAGCGGCGGCGGCGGCGGCGGCGGCGGCTCCGCCAGCGCCTTAACCCCTTCCTGCCCCGCCCCTGCGGCCGGCGGGCGGCGCCCGGGTCCGGGCCCATGGTGCCACCTGGCGGCCGCCGCGCCGCGGGAGCCCGGGCCCCCGCGCCCCTCGTTCCCACAGCGCGCCCCGGGCTCCTGCAGAGAGCCCTGGAGAGAAGAGAGACCCGCCTGTGGGGGCAGAGGCATTTGTGCCCGGGGTGTGACCTCCCGGGGTGTTCCCTCAGTGGAACCCCAACTCGCGCCTCCTCACGTCTCCACCCGCCGGTCTCTCTCAGGGTCATTCGACTCCCGACAGTGAAAGTCGGCGGCGGGAACAGAACCCTCAATCCTGGGTAGGCGCTCAGCACCTCGGCTTTCACTGAGGAGCATCGTCCGGGGGGGAGAGTTGTGCTTGGATATTGCCAGAAACGTGAGGACAGAAAGGAAATTGCCACCGATTGAGGCTCTAGACTTTGAATGACGCCAGTGACGTCTCTCTTGTCTCTCTTCATTACCGTTGCCACAGGTGTAGAGACCCCTGCCACTGACCATTGGGGTGAGGACTGGGGTTCGGCTCGCCTGGCACCAGGACAGGCACAAGCAGGACAGGTCGGAGGATGGAAAATTACCAAGAGGAAACACTGGCCTACAGGGGGGATTCTGGCTGAACCCACCTCACGGGCTTCTTGGCCCAAGACCAGCCAGGGGGACCAGACAGGACCCAGAGGACGGTCAGGGGAGGAAACTACTCCGGTATCCAGTCGGGGGTGGGGGGTGGGTGTCTGGATTCTTTAAGGAAGTGCGCAGGTGGGCCTAGGAGAAGGTTCAGGAGCCTACATTTGCTCAGAGGATATTTGTCAGTCTTCACAATATGAGATCCAAGAGGCAGATACCATCATCCTCATTCACAGATGAGAAAACAGAGGCTAAGGCGGGACAAGGCATTTGCCTGAAAACACACAGGTCGACAGTGGCAGAGCCAAGATGCCAATAAAGCAGTCTGATCCCAAAGTTGAAACTTCCCAAGAACCTCCAGACAGCCCCTAAGTCTAGGGATGCCCCCCTTCCCACCCCAACTTCCCTTTCTCAGCCCTCTCCTGTTTGCCTCCCTCCATACAAAGGCTCATGTCCACCTCATGCCCCAACCAGCATGCCAGGGACCCTCCCACCTCTGCCTGAGATCCAGGCTCTGAAGAAATCCACTCCAGACTCATCATCTCCCAGTGCTGCTTCCAGAGCATGGGGCCAGGAGGAGAGTTAGTGCTGTAATTTTATTAATTGAGCATTAAGGCATGGCAGGCACCATCCCAAAAAGAGAATGAAGGATGGCGCTTGCCCAGTTGGCTTATAGTAGACAAATTATTATGACACACAATAAAAACTAGGGGGTGGGGAAGCCCATATGGCTTTGATAGTCACCCTCAGAGCCAGCGCTACCATTTGTGCGAATTGTGCACCTGTACAGGACAACAGGTATTCAGGAGCCTCACAACTCCCTCCTTTCAGCTCCATCATCGAGGACTTGCTGTCACTGCAGGTCCACCTGGGAGTCAGGAGAAGGACACGAAGGGGTGACAGTCCAGCTCGGCCCTCAACTCCAGCTTGGGCACAGCCCACGGGGACGCAATGAGCCCAGGCCAGATGGGTGACTGAAGGGTGGCTTCGTGAAGCAGGCTCACTCGGAAGCTCTCATGTCACTTTACTGGGGTGGAGGGCTGTTTCTAAGAGAGGTAGCATTAAACCCATCCCAGAAGTGAGGTTTCTGCCTTCAAATCTTTTGAGGAAGTGCCTTTGACAGGGATGTTGGTTAATAGGACCAGCTTGAGCAGAAATAAATGCATGAGTAAACTCCGGGGGCTTAAGTATCAGGTCTTAAGAAAGAATGAAGGAAGCTAGTATCTCGCAGGTCCCTTCCATATGCCACTCAGTGGACTGGAGATATTTCCTCACAACAACTTACTTTGGAGAGATTATTATTTGTAGTTGACAGTTGAGCAAACTGAGGCTTAGTGGTGTTGAATAATTTGCTTAAAACAGAGATCTGACGACTGTAAATGCAGATTCCCATGTTAGCTCCATGACTATATTTCCTGCAAATGACTCAGGTTACCTCTCGCAGTGTCCACACTGTTTTAACAACCTGTTCTGATGCGAGTGAGGTCTGAGTTGGGTTAATACTATGGTGCCAATGTCAATTTCCTGGTTCTGATAATGTACTTTAATTATTATTTAAGATGTTACATTTGGGGAAAACTGCAGGACATCTCTATAGCTTTCTGGGTAGTTTCTTATGAATCTATCATTATTTCAAACAATTTTTTAAAAAAAAAATCCTGTTCTAGACCACTTTTCTAAGTCGCATTGTTGATTCAAAGCATCAGTCCTAGTGTAGAATACTAGGACTTTTAAGGTGGAAGAAGATCCAGTTTGGATCACAATCCTGACTGTAAATGCTCTTATTTTTACTGTTGTGTGTGCAACAAATTTCTGGGGACAGTATGGCCCTTGAGAAGACATCTCTGTACCTGCAAAGCAACACTGAGGCTTAAAAAAATTGTTTCAGACCCCCCCCCCCCCATCTTGCAGATGCTTTTGTGAAATAGAAAGAGGTTAAATCATTTGCACAGGACATTCTCCAAGCCAGTGTCAAAGCCAAGAGAGTCTGGCCCCAGGGAACATTCCCTCATCCCATGGAAATTTTCCAGTTACTTGGGTGGGAGGCTAAACATGCACAAATTCTGCTCCATTCCCAAACAAATCCATTTGCATATCATGTACCCAGAATGTCATAAGAATTAAATAATCACATTTATCCGTTACTGAAATAAAAAAATGTGGTTTACCTTTTCTTGTGTTCCGATCATCAAACACCCACACAGTAACTGCAGGGAAAAATATTGCTTGAGAGGGAGTGTTTTCAGAACAATGGTAGTTAGAAGTGTTCTTTCCTTCTAGAACTTTTCCTGTTGCTCTTATTAAAATCTCACATTGTTTGACCAGAGATGAATTATGACTGTACTTATTTGAAATTGCTCAGAAGTTGCTTGCCTGCAGCATTTGATTTCAATTTTCAAGGCCTGTGCCAAAAGAAGTCAGAACTTTTCCTGTCTGAATTCTCCAGGGACCTTGATTTCAGAGGCTCTGGGTCAAGGTTGCTTAGCCCAACATTATTCCATTGAAATTGCTCCTGGTGTCGGTGCCCATGGGGTGGAAATTGTATTGTCTGAGCTTACTTCAAGAGGCATTGTCCTTCCTTCTCCCCTTTCCCTTCCCAACCCCCACCCCATCCACCCCCTCCCAACACACACACACACACACACACACACACACGCAAGAAGCTACCAGTAAACATCAAACTGTTTATGAGGACTGCACAAGTCAGGAAGTGTCTCTCAGACATTCCTACTTCTGTCTGCAGGCACTGTGATTGAAGGGAGATATGACATAGCCACAGATAGACGTTAGAAGGATTCGGCATTTTTCCTGAACTCATCTGCCAGCCATTAAAAAAAAAAAGATTTATTTTATTTATTTGAAGGCAGAGTTATGGAGAGGCAGAGGCAGAGAGAGAGAGGTCTTCCATCCGCTGTTAGAGGCTGCTTGGGATCCTGCATCCCATATGAGAGTGCCTTGGTTTGAGTCTTGGCTCCGTTTTTTATCTCAGCTGCCTGGGATTCTGCTTCCTGCAGGGCAGTGGGTGATGTCTCAAGTATCTGAGTCTGTGCCACCCATATGGGAGTCCCAGATGGAGTCCCTGGCTCTTCATGGCCTCACCCAGACCTGCCTGGCTGTTATGGGCGTTCGGGAGAATGAACTAGGAGATGAGAAATCTGTGTCTCTCTTTCAAATAAAATGAAAATAAGTAATATGAAAAGAGTTACAACTCTTATTTAAAGGGGAAAAAAGGTAAAGAAATTACTGTCCAGAATCTGATGTGTTTAAGTGAACCCCGACACTACCACTTTGTTCTCTGTGCATGCATGGCCCAACACCCACTCTAGGCTACTTGAAAAGGTTGGCAGAAAGTAGAATGAAAAGATTAGTTTATTTTGGTATGAAATGTTTTTGAAATCCAAACAGTTTTTTTCTATAATATGAATTTTCCATGACCTTTTTGAAGACCCTGCATATGCACAGATTTCCATTTTTGCACCAAAATAAACTTATCCTTTCATTCCATTTCCACGAACTTTTTGACATACCCTAGTTTATCAATCCCTGTGAATTTCCAACAGGATTTTTCTTTCAAAGGAATCCTTTATTCTTTCTTACAAGCTTCTTCTTCCACGTAGGTTCTCAAACAGGAGAGACACCTTCTTCAGAGAACAAATCAGCAGATGAATGTCCGATGCCAGCTTCATGTGAGAAGTCATAAAGGTACCTGAACCTGCAGAAGTGAATCTCAGGATGCATCATTTCAGATGCCCTGCAATATTGTTCTACGTGGTGTGGCCCGAGGAACTGAAGCAGCCTGGGACACATCCCAGGCACTTGATGGTGGTGGTGATGGGAGAGTATTCAGAGGCTAGTAGGGAGCCGAGAATCAAGCTGCTCATCAGTTCTTTTTAGGCTACTGTTCTCTATTGGTGAGCCCGTTCCATTAGAGCTCTATTCTTTGCCAGCCCACTGAAATA